TGCTAAAACGCATTGTCCCTCTCTGGTGTCAGGATCAAAGTTAACAGAGGCAGATGGCCTCAGATAGTTGTGGAAGGTAAACTGCTGGATTTTTATCCTGGCTCTGAATAATTTATAATGATTTCTGACCCAGAAACCTCCCAGACAGGGAGCTGGTGCACAGGCGGGGAGGGAGTTTGGAATGGCCAGGCGAGAGGTGGAGGAGAAGATGGAGGGGGAGAAGTAGGGGAGAGTGGAGATGGTGGGGTTAAAGGGTTTGATGGTGGTGCCAAAGGAGGGAGGCGATGGGGAAAGGGAGCCAAAAGGGAAACCTCATCTGGGTCAGAGGAGGATGGTGGGGGAGACGCAGAGGGAAGAAGTAACATGCACAGGCGCAGCAAAGATCTGGGTGTCGAGCATGTTCAAGCCCGAACGTAGGGCACCTCAGACCACTGCCCAGCCAGCAGCAATAAAGGTCTAGCTGAAGAATGGTATTATGATTAAGAGACCCATTCTCAGGCCAAATCTTCAGGTCATCTAATTTATATTGTAGCCAGGCTATATTGCAATACAAAACTAAATGCTTGAGCTGGAGGTTGGTAAGTCCCAAAGTTTTCAAATTCTTAAGAAAACATCCCAGTGGGAAGTTTTTACGTGGGGCCAACTGAACGTTGCCCATGATGATAACCAGAAGAAAGAAAAGGACTTCTGGGGGATGGCCATATGTCAAAAGACGAGAGTCTAAGAGGGGCATCCCTGACTCAGATGACCTTGAGATCTGATCAGACATCAGGTGTCCCTGAGACCTGAGTCAGACCGAGACCTAGAAACCTAGAGATCTGCCCAGAAAGCAGGAGTCCCGAGTTCTGACCTAGACCAAACCCCAGAGATCTTCCCCAAAGCCGGGTGTCCTGGGTCTGCCTGATGACCAAGAGGTGGTTGGGAAGCATCCTTCCAAGGCATCTCCCAAGAATTGTAGATCCAGTACTGGGTTTTCCATTCTAGATCAAAACCAAACAAAAGCCACCACTCTTAGCCTCGTGCATATGACTACTTCAGAGCCCAAGAGACCCACTGAGTACCGAATGGTGTTGAAGGCACCGAGAAGGATGTCCTGGGAGTTGTGCAGCAGAGGAGGGAACAGTCTTGAGACAGAAGTAGAAAAGTGAGTCCCCATACAGGCCACCAAAATAACACAGAGGGGGCTCGTACTGCAAGCTGAGAAAGAATTCTCAATTCAGAGATTAGGATGGGTTTTAAAGCAAGTTTATTTTACTTTCCAAGGAAGGAAAGGGCACAGCATGAATGGAAGAAATGTGAGCTCCAAGGGTGAGTGGCTTGGGCTTTTGTTGGGATAAAAGATAACGTAGTTATTGCTGGAAAATGATAACAGGAGGCAGTTGTGTTTTTTTTTTCCTTGTGTACTAGACTGGCTTTATCGCACTTCTCAGAATGTGGTCTGGCGGATGTGGAGGAGGCTACACACCTTTTTCTGTCTGCTCAGTACTGTTTCCCAGTTCTGTAAAACAAGTTCTTAAAAAACAAGTTAAGCCATGGGTGGTTAAGCAAACAAAGGGACGGTTGTATGCAGTGATTTTTTTCCTGTTAGATGGTTTACTAGCAATGCCATCCTTACAGGAAGTAGTAATATGGGTGTCTGAGCAACATTTGATTGTTAGGACAATGAATTGAAAACTAGCACAGGCACCCCTGAAGTATGACAGATGGCAACAGAAGGGCCAATTTGGTGTCAAAGAAATAACTGACGGGGTGGTACCCTTATGTCTGTGTCTGCTACTTCTGAACTAAAAACAAACCTTCAAACTACTTTTATGAATACTGAGACCAAGAAAACCACTCGGGTGTGGGTAGTCTAGAAATGTAAATTTTTATGGTACTCTACTAATTAATGAGCCACAGGATAGAATATTTCATATTAAAAATGTTTTGTAGGTGTGGGCTTCAGGGTTTAAAAATGAACCCACACATTGTTCAGAGAATTGACAAACCAGAGAAATTTAAAAATCGCATCACTATGAAAAGAAAGTAGAATACTTCCCAGAGGGAAAATGAAGACAATTTCTAATATGGGTCAAATGAAGCAAAAAGGTGAGATATATGGTGAAGTGTTTCAGACCTGCCCTCGCCAATGCCATAGCCACATGTGGCTTACATTTAAATTAATTACAATGACATACAATTTAAAATTCAGTTCCCATCACCTTCAGGTGTGCAGGGGCTCCATGTGGTGAGCAGCTGCCTGCTGGACAGAGCAGACGCAGGCCAACCCGTCCCTGTGGACGGCGCATCAGCCAGCACTGATGCAGACATTTGCCGATACCTCTTATACTAAATAGCGTACATGTGACAAATTGCAAATTGTCCACCACTCAGTGAGAAGCCCGAGTTAAATAAAAAGCGGTAGGTAGGTCATTCTCTTTCATGCCAAATTCTGACGGAAGAATATCGGTTGGAAGACAGGAGCCTTGTCATCCTGAGATGGGGGTGGGGTGGGGTGCTGCACAGGGCACAGTCTGCTGTCCCTGCAGTTCTATAGCAGGAGGCTGAGAAAGGGAAAGTGAGTGAAAGAGCAAAGCTCCTCAGTGCGCCAATGTCACAACGCAACCATCAGAAACCCTGTGAAAATAAGTAATGAACTCGGGTGGCTTCAGGGATGCCGTGTTAGGTGTGTACGCAAATACACGTATATAGAGGACAGGATGGCCATCCATTTAACACGTATTTATTGAGGGCCAAGGACATAGGAACAAGAAGGGGCACTGTCGGAAGCATCAGGAACACTGATATCCGGAAAAAGCCAACACTTAGAAAAACATTTGCAGAGAAATTAGACCAAAGGAAAGACTGGCCCCATATTTGGACACATAATGTGATTAACGTTAATGTAGGAAAGAAAGAGTATTTTCTTTCAGTTAATTTCTCAACTCCTGGAAAGTTTAGAACAGACCTGTCTGGAGGAAATTGAATCTGAGATAGGCAAGAAGATAGTGGCACCTTAATGCTTCAAATGATGGAGTCAGCAGAAACAGGGCCAGGAGATAACCTGCCTCTTCCTGTTGGCAGATGGTGGTCTCCACTGTACCTTCCTGCCCCTTCGTAGGTGGCGACAGGACCCAGGCATAAGACCATAGTGAGGACTCACGAAAGGCACGGTTGTCCCCTAGCAGCACAACCCAACGGCTGGCAGGGTGCAGAGTCAGCTAGAGATTCCGTAGAGAGCAGTGTCGCAGTAAAGGAAGGGGCTGAAGCGGCATAGTTTGTGAATGCATCAGGCTAGTAGTATCTCTTGTTCTTCTAGACGCATCTGTTTGTCCATTTACATTGCTACACGTGCGGGTGCTTTTTCTTTAAACCTTAATTTCATAGTAATTAATCTCCCTTTTAAGCCACTGAGATGACACAGGAAAAGCACAGAAGGATCTGGGGACTGAAATCTCCTTATTGCCCGTTTGACCTTAGGCAAGTTACTTACCTTCCGTGAGCTATGGTTTTCTCATTGGTAAAATGTGCATGTGGTGCTTTGGCATGCTGAGCACTAAACAAAGTAACATTTAAAGGTCAGGGAGGATGGTGGCTGGCTGCATCCAGTAAGTGCTTTCTCTGTTCAGTGAATGCACGTCCCCCCCTTAGACAGCCACCCAGGATGCAGGACAGAGCACCCCTCCGAGCCACGGGTGATGCTGACCGTGGCGTTCCAGGACGGAGACTTGGCCAGCGGTCGGTGGGGACGGAGGCTGAGGCCTGCTGCCGTCTCTGGGGCGTTTCTTGCTGAGGAAATGGAAAACTTCCAAATTGGGTTGCAAAATCATAGTTGTTAATATTTGCAGCGTTCTGGAGAACAAAAAAGCGCCAGAGATGGGAGGGAGAATAAAGATGGATTTCAGAAACCACAGGTCAAAGAGTTGTGGAAGATTCTAGAAAGGAATGTTTAACAAAGGATGTGACTACTTTATGAGGAGAGAACTAGAAACCATTTGAATTCACTAGGTCATGAAAAAAAAAACCAACATTGTTAAAGAGCCTGTGGATTAGTACATTCGGTGAATGCCAAAGCCAGAGTCTCTTGATTTCTTTGAAGAATTTGAAAACTCTCGAGGATATGCCTTGTGGAGGAGAGAGAAAAAGAAAAACGGGCCGGACGAGAATACAGTTGGGGAATCGACAGCCGATCAGATCTGCAGCTGCGCCCAGGGCGCTGAATAATGGATCAGAGTCCACAGGGAGAGTCTCAGGTGCCGCCGATAAAGGCCACGGCTTTGGCTCTCGGTCCGCTCCCCATTCCGGTGGGCAACTGAGGCAAAAGCCCATAAAAAACCTCAACTGCTCTGATGATGAAAAAAAAAATCAGCGTTCAGTGAACTAGAAATTGAAAAACCTGAAGAGCTGGGACAATAGGGACAATGTTAGCGTCCTGACCCGGGCACGAGGCGCGGGGCCGACGGCAACCAGGAGAAAGACCCGGGTCTCGCTGCCCTCGCGCCGGGCGTCTCCGCAGCTGGGGCTCGCGTTCGCGAGACTCCCGGTGTGCGGTGGCCCCGGGGCCCAGGACGAGGCGGTGCTGTCTCCACCCGCGACGAGCGGCTCCGTGGCAGCCGGGCGCCCTCCTGCAGCCTCCTCGCGGGCAGGCGCGACCTCAGGAGCCACCGTCCAGGTCGGGGGACGGGGCGGCGCCCGCCACGCCGACGTCGGAAACGCTCGGAGGCTGCGGACACCACACCTTCCTTTCCCTTCCAGAACGTTCACCGCCAGGAATCGTCCGCGCCTGGAACTTTCTCATCTACAAGAACCGCCCGTCACCAGCGCCAGTCCCCGCGCCGGCCCGCGTCCGCCGAAGCGCGTTCGCAGCTCCGCGCTGCCCTCCGGGTCCAGGCGTCTCTAGCCGTACAGCCCCCGAGCGCCCTGGCGTTGCCTGGCAACTGCGCAGCGAGGGGATTGGCCGCACGAGGCCCCGTGACCTCGTAGGATACACGTACTTCCTGCGCCACCGGAAGTGGCGTAGCGCCAGGCGCTGCCCCGTGCAGAGGCGGAAGCGGAGTCGCCCCAGTCGAGTCGTGTTGCCGCGGGCACCTCAGCCCAGCTGCGCGCCTCAGCCCATGGCCTCTTACTCCTACCGCCCCGGCCCCGGGGCCGGCCCCGGCCCTACTGCGGGCGCGGCGCTACCGGACCAGAGCTTCCTGTGGAACGTCTTCCAGAGGTGAGACCTGGCGCCGCCCGGGCACCTCCGCGGCTGCTGCCCCGTCCTCTCGGCCTCCCCCTCGGCCCCCTAGCCCGTCCCCTCGGCCTCCCTGGGTCCTGCCCCGTTTCCCTCGGGCTGCCTCCCGGCCTCTTACGCCGTCCCCTTTCCCGGCCTCTTGCCTGTGCCCCTCGGTCTCCCCGGACTCCCTACCCCGTGCCTCCGGCCCCCTGCCCGGTCCCCTTCAGCCTCCCCCTCGGCCCCTGCCCGGTCCCGACCCGCACTCCGGGCCCCTCCCGAGGTGCAGCCCCGACCGAAGTCCGGCCGCAAGGTCCTGGGGCTCGGCCTTCTCCCCCTGCCAGGAACCAGCGAGTGGGGGATCTCCCAGGAATGTTTGTGTTAGGAGAGCAGAAACATGCTTTCCAGCGCCGTTAAAATGGCAGTAGCCAGAGAAGCAGCAGGGAGACCGGGCGTTGGCTTGGGGCAGGTGACCTCGACGACAGCGCCTTCTTCCCTAGTCGTCCTTCACTGAATGGATGGCCGAAACTTGAGTGACTCATGGCCAGGGAATGACTTAATTGTCTGAGGGAATTTTTTCCTGTTTGTGAAGAAGAGACTCTGGCGCAGGTGTGAATTCAGACAGGCCAGGGGAGGAAGCAAGGGAAGGCTTGAGATGGGGACACAAAAGAGAAAAGGTGATCCGCCTCTTAGGGGTTTCGGCACTTGGGGCATTTCTTTTGTCCCCTAGCAGAATGGAGGAGCAAAAGTGAAAGGTCTGCTGGAGAGAGCATTCCAGAACTAGTGTGGTGTTGACAGAAGAGTTAAGCATGTGTTTTGCATCTCCTGCGCTTTTACTCGACAGCTTAACTGGTCTTCTTTATTTTATAGAGTTGATAAAGACAGGAGTGGAGTGATATCGGACAACGAGCTCCAGCAAGCACTGTCCAATGGTGAGTGGACATGTAATGCCTGGGCCTCAGGACTAGTAAATTGCAACCCTGATCTACTTGCAGTAAATAACTTCCTTTCCGGAATTTATTTTCCAAGTACAAAGGAATCGCTAAGACAAGCAAGTATTGCTGTCCTGTGGTGGAGATGTTTCTGATTTACCCTGCGGCATGTTTTCCTGGCTGTTACTGTCATTGCTGCTTGGATTGCCTTGCAGAGCTAGCTGCAGGGCTGTATAGGAAATGTTTCTTGAGAAATGGAATCTGGGGTGTAGATTTTAGGAGAGGAATAGGAAGTTTAGCTTTGCACAGCAAAAATTTTTTAGGTGTTTTGAAGATCTTTGAATTCCTTAGGTAACTGAATTTTAGTGACACTGAAGAGGTTGTTGAAGGGTTTGGGGAAGGTCCATGCAGCACTCTGTGGGAGTGTGGCTGCTAGGTTGCTATAGGAACTGCTGAGTCTCCCAGACCAAATTCTTGGGGAAATTATAGAGAATATTGGAGGTGCTGGCAGCGGAATTGTGGGTAGGTATTCTTACTAGAGTGAGGAACACTGGGCATTCAGGTAGGGGATGGAAGGATGATGGTCCTTGTGTGGCGGTTGGGGGCTCTCCATGGAATTATGTTCTTGCTGGTTTCAGTGTGATGAATCTACACTAGTACTGATAGGAACATTTTGCTCCATTAAATACCTGATTGCTCCTTTTTTTTTTTGTAATCCCTCAGGTGCAGGCATCTTTTCTGATTGTTATGTTTATGGTTTGCTTTTCCAGAAGTGAGCCCTTTAAGCTAGAAAAGGGATCTATTTCAAGACATGAAAATGTTGATAAGTTCATCTACATTAGCAGAGAGCAGGCTGTTGCAGGAGGCTGGGCTGGGGAGTGGGAGATGCTGGCTGCTGGAGTCTGCCTCACAGTGTGGGGGCGAGGGTTGGAGGAGAGCCCCTCACCTTTGGCACATGCCAGGCACTCAGCATTAATGTCTAATAGTTTGTGTTAAGCTGAGGATTTGTGTTTTCAGAGCAACATGTTTACCTTGTAGAGTGGTAGATGCTGCTGATCTCATTTCCTAGTAGTTGCCATGTGGGCCACAGATACTGGCATGTTGTTTCACATGCATGTATGTAGATCGATTTCAGGGATTTAAGAAATTTCGTGATCTCTGTCCTGATGATTGTGCCTTCTTGATTTTTCTATTTTCTGATCATTATTAAATCCTTTTTATTTTTTATTTGCATCTCCAGTGCTTGAGTTATACTCAGAAGTACAAGGAAGGGTTACTATAAAGAACTGGCTACAATTTGGCAAGTCTTAGCTTAAACTTTCTAAATGTTAACCAAAATGGATGTTTTCTTCACATAACATGTTAAATGTGGTCAGATTTAAGTGGGCAGTCACCCTGGTGACAGGTGCTACATGGAGTGCCTTCCTCAGAGGTCATGCCTCAGAGGCATTCATTTTGAGTGGTTTTTCACTTTTACTCCCATTCGAGCATTCGCGCTGAGGCCCTGCGATTTTCCATGTGTGTCTGCCTTTTGGTGTCCACTGAGTGCCTCCTCTGGACCATTGTGGTCCGCAGGGCACCCTGCCCCCCCCCCCCCACCGCCTGCCCTGGGGTCTGCACTCCCGCCCTCGTGCCTACGGGTTGCAGCCTTCAAGATGCCGACCAAGCACCTGTTCTCTAAGGTGAGTGTGCACTGCCGCCATCAGACCACACAGCTCTTTCTCTTTCTCTGACACTCACCTTCTCCTCGTGTGGTTTTGTCGCTGTTGTGGCTCGCTCTTGCTCCTGCACTGTGAGCCTCACAGAGGAAGGTACAGTGTGCACAGGCACATAGCGATTGTCCTTGGGTAGACGCAGATCTGTTCTCTTCATTCTCCTCTTTGAATTCGTGCACTAAACGATTGAAATTACTTAGACTTTTAATTGTTCTCCCAGAATTGGGCTTCTGTTTTGATAGTAGAACTAGGTTATTAGGCTATTTCAGGAAATTAATTTAATTAACGTATTACCGGTAGAAAAACTAAAGTTACAAAATAGCATGATTTTTCACTTCATTTAAATTTGTGCTGTTGAATGTTCTCTGTTAAAATCTAGTTAAAACCATACCGAGAAAGATTTGTGGATTCCTTACACTAGTTCTTTGTAAGACTTGTTTTCACAGGAGAGCTTCTAAAAATGACTGCTCTCGGGGAGGTCTGCGGATCACAAGTATGAAGAAAGACAGAGAGGGCTGTTCTCTAGCCTTTTCAAAATAACATGTCACAAACTATCTTGAGTTTAATACCTTTTGGGTTTTTTTTTCACCTTCACATATTTCTTGGAATTATGAGAGATTAATTCTTTTCAAGCCTCTTGTTTTTGCTCCTTTTTTTTGCTTCTAAAGTAAGTTTGCCTTATTGATATATTTCAAGGGGGCATTTTTTAGCTGTACTTTAAAAAAAAATAATACTTCTTAAATTTTCTTGAAAGAAGTTTTATCAAATAGAGTTGTAGCTCCCTCGGGAACTCCATATGACAAAGAAATGAGAAAATCAACTGTACAAGCAGGACAGTTCTCTGTAGAACACTTACCTGGTCATAGCACTGCCTTTACCTCCCACGGGCCCCTTGGTGGCTGATGGCGCTGGTTACCCTGGTGAGGAAGCGGAGTGGGTGAGCGATTATTTACCTCAGCTTTGATTTCCTGTGTGGGAAAGGGTTGCTCAGACCTTGCACCGTCCCAGGAGGGACCTGCTTGGTGACTGGCCCTCGAGCCCCGCTCTTTCTGGGGCCAGAGCCTCAGTTGCTGACCCCCAGGAAAAACCCAGGCTCAGGAGAGCCTCCCTGCTTGGCTGTACTGCTCGCTGTGTCTTGTAAATCCTGAATTCTGCCATCATGCCGCTCTGGTCACAGCTTTTTGCTGGAGGGATTAAGCACATCCTTTGGGTCTTGGCTGGGAGAGGACTCTGGAATCTTGTCCCTGGTTTCTCCACCGGCCCTTTCCTTTTGTTGGTTTTACTCCGTTTCCTTCCTCTGTAATAAACCGTAACCACGAGTCCTGTGAGTCCCAGTGAGTCATCCAGCCTCAGAGGGTCTCGGGGACCCCCGTACAGCTGTCATGTCTGCTCGCCCCAGAAAGTCGCCCTGCTAGAGCTTCAGAGAGAAGCAGAGGAGGGTTGGGGTTTGGGGGACCTGGCTTTGGTGACAGGCTGCTCCACAACCTTGGACCAGTGTCAGCATTTCTGGCCTCAGTTTCTTTGGATGTAAAAAAGTAAGACAACTGGAAGTTTAGATCCCTTTCTGCCTTCCCCAAGCCCGTCCGCACCGGACTCTGCAACTCCTTCCCTTGGACTCAGCCTGGCACAGAACTGTACAGAGTCTGTAGCAAAGTTTAGTTTACAGTGTTTCACTGTCAGACCTTCAGATGGTTTCTGATTTTCCTTAACGTAAGTACTATAAGAGTTTGTTTCGTAATTTCATAGAACAAGTTTCTAGAAGTGGAATTTATCAAATCAGTGGACATAAGCCTTGTTAATGCTGTTGATCAGTATTCAGATTGCTTTTCAGAAAGGCCGTATTTCTGGTTATGGCTGTATGCAGCCATAATAGAAGGTAACTGGCGAAATACCGTATTTGCTGAACCTGAAGAGGCACCAGAGACCTGGCGTGGTCCACGCACTAACCGCCAGTGCTGCGCCCTGAGCTCTGCTCCAGCGGAGAGGCCCAGTGAGGCTGGGAGTCCCAGGGTCTGGTGCAGGGAAGTGGAAGAGGTTGCCAGTGACGATGTAGAAAAAGTATGATTTTTTTTTTCCCCCATGAGAGTCGGGTCGTTAGGTGTTTCAGCCGTGCACACGTGAGTGAAGAGTTGACCTTTTACCACTCGCTAAGGTCTTTGTCAACAGTAATTTAAGTTTCTGATTAACAGGACGTAATTTCAAGAAAGAAAACTCTTTGGTGAGTAAGAAGACAACATATATTTGAAGAGCAGGGGTTGAGGTGGGGTTTTCCCCCCTTTTAAGAAGGGAGGCAGATATAAATTCCTAAAATCCTTTCTGTGCTTGAGGCTTAGGTGCGAAAAAACACTAAAACATCTGTTGGTAATTAACTCTACCGCTCTAGAACTGTGGAGCGTCGCTTCTTACAGCTTTAGCAGTGTCCCCAAATTATGGGTGAAAAAAGTTACGTCTGCTTGATTTACATGGTGAATAATGTGTATGTTTCTGTTTCCTTTGGTTCTTTGAGATGAATTTGAGGCAAGACTTACAGGTACAGTAGCCATATATTTGTAATTTAAAGTCTGACAGGAAATCTTTTGCAAGCTGAGTGGTTCCGGCATCACTTAGATATGTTGGCTATTGGGGAAAGCAGACTAGCATCTTGGGAATTGGGGCTGGCCCAGGAAATCTGAGATAGAGGGTCCCTGGAGGTGAAGGGCTTATAAAAAAAATTTTCCTGTCTTCTGTGTCCTTTGCTTTCAGTAAGCGCTATGAAAAACTGCTTATTCATGTCACAGTGGGGTTTTGTTTTCAGAAAACTGTTTTATTTATTTAATTAAAATGTTTTTTCTTAAGAGACAGGGTGTCTTGCTCTGTCGCTCAGGCTGGAGTACAGTGGTGTGATCACAGCTCACGGCAGCCTCAAACTCGTGGACTCAAGTGATCCTCCTCCCTCAGCCTCCCAAATAGCTGGGACTGTAGGCGGCACCACCATGCCTGGCTAATTTTTCTATTTTTTTGTAAAGATGGGGTCTTGCTGTGTTGCCCAGGCTGGTCTTGAACTCCTGGCCTCAAGCAGTTCCCCCACTTTGGCCTCCCAAAGTGCTGGAATTACCGGCATGAGCCACTGCACCCGGCCCTAAACACAGTGTTAGAATTGTATGGGACCCCTGTCATAAATGTGGTCTGTGTGGACTAAGATGTCATTAGGCAGCCATTTTCAGGCAGGTTTTAAGGTGTATTTAATGCCTGGCGTAACTAAAATATCAAATGTCCGGCTCGCTGTGAATCAGCGATGTTTAGTGTTTGATGTTTAGTCTTAGGACCTGGCACACGTGAAGGGTCAGTTAAATGTTGGCTGTTAGTATCATGTGGTTTCCACGGAGATGTCAGGCCCCTGTGGGCAGCAGGAAGGGCGAGTGGAGACACGAGGAACATGTGTTAAATTGGGTAGATTTGCAGTGGAGGCAGTATTAAATATAACGCAATATTACAGACACGCGTCTGCCTCTATGCCTTGGCCCTTGTGGCAGGTTGGGGGGGCAGCCTCTCCCTGATCCTTGACTCAGCTGGGGCAGCCTCTTCTCTCCCAAGCCTCAGACCGTCCTGCAATCCTCAGAATATTCCAGAAGACTCCTGTATGGCTTTCCGGTTCCCTGCGGGCCCCAGCTCTCAGGAATACGCCATCTGTGTACTCCGTGTGTGCCTGTCCAGGTGGCACCTGATCCTCCTGTGCCTGCACTGCCGCGTTAGTTAACGTTTCGCTGTGATTCACCTGCACGGCTCTGTTTGGCCATAGTGTTTGTTGAGAAGGCCGGAGATGCTTCTGCTTACAGGCAGTCAGGACAGCCTCACGGTGCAGCCTCCATTTTGAGAGTTTCGGTCTCCTCCGCGAGGTCACAGTGGCTCGCTCCAGCTCTGCATGGTCAGTGCAGGGCCACGAGTGTGTGTGGGCTCTTCTCTGCGGAAGACAGAGGAAACCAGCAGGTAGAGCCAGGGAGACAGACGTCCAGTGGGTGGCTTGGCTCCTGGGGCTCCTTGTCAGCAGTGGTGGTGCAGGTTATCCTCGGGTGTAGACCTCGTTCGGTGCACGTGGCAGCTGAGCATGAAGGCAGCTGAATAGGATTGGGTAGGGAAGTGGTACTCCTCTTCAGAGGTTCCCTCTTTCTTTGCCTTGTGGGTTCTCTATGACATCTTTCCTTTTGTCATATTCATCTTCAGTAACACTGCCTTTCCCCAGTGCTTTTATGTACATGCTCCAGTCCACTCTCCCCCCAAATACCTGTACAGCCCGCCACAGAGATATTCCTGCCAACTGTGAATCTATTCAGTTTAACAAATGCTCGCTGAGCACTGCTGTGTGCCAGCCACGGGGCAGCTGTGCCGCCTTCCTGGGAAGGGTGCTGGGCAGGTGGGCAGGGTGTGCCCAGGCAGAGCAAGTGGATTTAACTTCCGGGCTGGGGGAGCGCGGGGTCCTGGGGAAGGGTCTCTGAGGAAGGAAGGGTGGGAGTTGGGGGATGTGTCGAATGCTTTGGGAGGGATGCTTCAGGTTGAGAAAAAGCCCAGAGTTGAGTGGGCACTGGGAGGAGCTTTGTGAGTCCAGAGCGACGAGGGGAAGCGGGGGGAGGACGATGCCTGCAGACCCTGCCGCCCACTGCCCGCATTCCAAGTGGGAACCTCCCACTCTGTGGACGGGAGTGCAGCAGTGTTACTCTGCGAGATCAAGCTGTCTCTGTGCCACCCAGAGCCCCAGCAGTGTGTATGTAGAAGAGAAGATGGTGTTTTATACAGATGGGGAATAGGGAGAGCCACTGATCTTCCCACATACCAAAAACATTTGTTAGTCTGTTTTTAGTGAGTATAAAATTGTTTGAAGGTACCAATCTCTCCAATAACGGGTTCTTGGGCAGAATATCCCATCATTGTGGTTGATACATGGTTCTGAGTTCTTACACGTATCAGATTCAGCAACGAATAGCCTACCTGTTCACAATTTCAAGGAAAATAGTATAATGCCCAGACTATAATTTTAGGAAAAATTTTTGAAGTGTGATTTTATCGTATGTGTTTAGTAAGCTGTGACACGATTACCGGGGGAAACACGAGGAGGTAACTGGTGCTCAAGCCTGGGTGTAGCATCACTGTGACCGCGCCGCATGCTCGGTGCCTTGGCGACTCCAGCACCTAAGGCGGTGGTGGTCTTGGTGGCGGGATCTTCTGAAATGGGGATTAGTGACATTCCAGACAAGCTAAGTGGGACTTACTCAACTTTGCTGGTGGCTGCGTGTCTGGAAAATTCAGTAAATTAAAGTAAATAAAACCATTTCTTAGTTATGATATTAAGCAAAAGTGAAATTTCAGTCTCAGATATTTTTTTTTTTTTTTTGAGACAGAGTCTCACTCTGTTACCCAGGCTAGAGTGCCGTGGTGTCAGCCTAGCTCACGGCAACCTCAAACTCCTGGGCTCAAGCGATCCTCCCACCTCAGCCTCCCGAGTAGCTGGGACTACAGGCATGCGCCACCATGCCCGGCTAATTTTTTCTATATATTTTTAGTTGTCCGGCTAATTTCTTTCTATTTTATACAGAGACAGGGTCTCACTCTTGCTCAGGCTGGTCT